GTTTCCGCACAAACATCCTGCTCGTATGGCCTTATATATTTCTTGTTGCGATTAATTTGTTTTTTTTTTTATTGTCTAATTGTCTATTAGTTTAGTTAGCCATTTAATTAGTCTAATTGTCTAATTAGTTCGACAAACGTCCGGTCGTTGAAACCGCAGCTCCGCACTGTCTCTGACGTAAAAAAAGTTGCAACTCTCTCTCTCTCGAGGTGTTTAACATTTTTTTAAAAAATCGTCACGTGTCAACGTCCAGACCGGTCGATTGTTCCGCGGACGGAATCGACCAATCGGATCGATCGATCGTTCCGCGATTGACATTGATCAATCGGAAATGAACAAAACCCTATCTCCGGACGTCATCAGCACCCATCGCGCGGGGTCCCTTCGGACACACCTGCGCCCACCTGTGCGCGCTCCGTCCTCGAGTGTGTTTCCAAGACGCGTTAAAAACGCTTCTTAAACAGCGGAGACGCGAGAGACGCGCCCGCGCTACACACACACACACACACGCACACACACACACACACGTATGGGTACGCGCTTATCGGGTGGTAAAAGTAACGCGATTCGCCAATCGCGAAGAGACGAGACGTCGCTGTCATCGTAACGGTGTCCGCGTATGTACGTACGTACGTGCGTGCACTTGAGAGAGAAGCTTGAAACTTTTGTAAATTACATGGTGACTAATAATCATGACAGCGACAACATCGCGCGTTGTTGTAGCGAAGATATGAGGGAGGTCGCGTCGTGACGTTTCTTTTTCGCGAGACCTCGATCGCGTCGAGGAAGAGAGTGAGAGAGAGAGAGAGAGACGAAAGTGTGTGAGAGAGAGAGAGAGAGAGAGAAAGAGAGACGATCGCAAAATCCTTCGCAATTTTTCCCGCTTCGAGATATCCACACAAATGATCTACGCTATCTCGTCCTATAACCTACGCCGTGTGTGTGATTCCCGTGTCAGCTGATGGATTCGATGTAACAAAACGAAAGAGATCGAGACCGAGGCGCGGATCTTCGCGAGACACTTTGCGTTTCGACCGGGGGTCGGTCGAATAATTTTTTACACAAGAGCTTCGTCATGGCAGATCTCGCCCTGGGGGAACTGAGCGCCGATCAGACCGAGAAGGTGCTCCAGTTTCAGGTAAAGAAACCACACACACATATTTTTCCCTTCCTTCGCCCCCTTCCAACCCCTCCTCCACCCCCTCGCGAGGCACGTCCTCGTCGGGCCGACGACGTTCCTTCTACGACCGGCGACAATCCAAAGTAAAAAATTCGATTCGTTTCGCAGGATCTCACCGGTATCGAGGATCTGTCGGTGTGCAGAGACGTTCTGCAGAGGCACAACTGGAATCTGGAAGTTGCGGTTCAGGTGAAAAACTTCACTGCTGCACGCACACACGCGCTGACACCTTTCTCGATTTTTTGTTTTGTCGCAACAGTTTTTTTTTTTTTTTACGCACACGTCTGTGCGTTCCAATCTTTTCCTCGTTGTGACGACGTTTGTGTTTGATTCGCACTGTTTCTCACAGAATTAAAGGTCCAGTACAATGGTGTGGACCGCTTTGTCGGTTGCAACAGTTGTTGGAAAAAAAAAAACAACATTCCCGGAGATGTTGATTCTGTGAAAAACAGAGGAGCGGCGTCACAAAGTCACACTTGTCCAAAGTGGCTCCTATTTGTGGTAACATATTGCCGATAGGAGGAGGAATACCTCTTGCTCGCACGCACGCAGACCTCAAGTGAGATATTTGTTTAACTGGTGTACAAAAATTGCATTTTTGTGTCCTCGCGCAGGAACAATTGAACTTGTACGAGGGTCGACCATCCATGTACGCTCAGGATTCGCACGCCCGTCCGCCTCAGGTAGTGGACGACAGTTCGAGAATATATTTTAGTTACCCCGGGAGTTCAGGCGGAGGTGGCGGTATTCTGTCTTATATTTTTTCCATGTGTTACAACATAGTGAGCAGCATCTTGCAACTGTTGTTCGCAATATTTAGAAGAAACGTGAAACCTGGTGAGTAGCATGCACGTGTGTTCGGTAAAACTGTCCTTTTGCTCTTGTCCTCACGTCTTGGCCTTTCTTCGCAACCTACCTAAAAAGTTTGCGCTTGTTCTTACTTCGAGCGAAGTAACAACAATAAATGGCCGTTTGATGAAAAATTGAGAGAGTCCAATGTGTAGAAACTTGCAATACTATTCGTCACACACGCGCGCCCATGTTGGACGCTACTTGCTTTTTACTGATCAGATTACACAATAAATTTCCAAAGTGTCCTCCAACCCAGTGGAAGACGTAGTCAACTTTATTAGGTCTTATGAGGAGCGTTACGGCAACACGCATCCGGTATTCTACCAGGGCTCGTACAGCCAAGCTCTTTCGGATGCGAAACAGGAATTGAAGTTTCTTCTGGTTTACTTGCATAAAGATGAGACGCAGGAGGTGGATCAGTGGTGCAGGTAATATTAACTCGCGAACGAGTTTGTCACACGCGACAGTGTGTGACAGAAAAAAATCTCCAACTCTCTCACCGTGTGTGTGTTTTTTTTTTTTTATCTTTTCTTCAGGAGCACGTTGTGCGATCCAGAAATGACGCGGTACATAAACACGCACACACTGTTCTGGGCGTGTAACGTGAAGTCCGGAGAGGGCTACAAAGTCGCGGAAGCGCTCAAATCGGGCTCCTATCCCTTTCTGGCGCTCATTGTGCTCAAGGGAAACAGAATGACAATAGTAGGACGGTACGTAAGACCTAAGAAAAAAACAAAAAAACGTATCGCGTTCTCCGAGACTCGATGTCGCGCGCGCGTGCTCGATCGAAAGAAAAAAAAACGTTTTTATCTTTTCTTTTTTTTTTATAGATTAGAAGGTACACCCTCTGCGGCCGATTTAACGTCCCGTTTGCAAACGATCATAGAGCGTAATGAAATTAATTTAATTCAAGCACGTCGGGAGAGGTAAATGTGAGATGTGTAATGTATTTGTGCGTAAAACAAACAAACCAAGATTTCTGCGGTTTGATATGCGCAAAAAAATTCGGTTTTTTGCTCACTCGTCAGCGATTGAAATTTTCGCAGAGCGGAGCGAAGCGCGGCGCAGTCTCTACGTCAGCAGCAGGATCGCGCCTACGAGGAGTCGTTGCGCGCGGATCAGGAGAAGGATCGCAGGAGAGAGGAGGAGCGAAGAGCGCGCGAGGAAAAGGAGGCGCGGGAGAAGGAGGAATTGAACGCGCAGGAGCTCGAGATACAGCGTATACGACTCGAGAAAGAGCTGACCGTAAACAAAGTGCCTCTCGAGCCTGAACCGTCGCATCCAAACGCGTGTCATCTCCAGATCAAGTTCGGCGAGAGAACGATGAAGAGGAGATTTCTCATGACCGACACGGTCGAGGTCGGTGAACGCGCCAATTCAAAAGAAAAAAAAAAAAAAAACTATCACGTTTTTGAAATTTAACTCACGTGTAAAAAAAAAAAATTGAAAAATTGAAAACACCTACGTTTTCAGGACGTTTATCACTGGATATTCAGCCAGCCGGACTCGCCGGCGAGTTTCGAAATAACAACGAGTTTTCCGAGAAGAATCCTCTACCCATGCAGAGACATCGTGACCCTGTCGGCTGCCGGCTTAACTCACCGAGAGGTTCTTCACGTTAACGATCTTGACGACTAAATTCAAGTTTTTGCGCTTCGAGACACTCTCGTCGAGAGTTCGGTGTCATTCCACGAGAATATGAGAAAAACAAAAACAAAAAAAAAAAACACCAGGAAACAACAACATTTTTTTGAGGAGACACGCTTGTGGAAAAATTAAATAAACGCGAACGCGCGCGAGCGAGCGAAACACACGCAAAAGAAAACATGAATACAACACACGTACATAATAATATATATTTGATACATTCTAGTACTTTATGTGAGATATGATTCTTACTGCGGAAGGAGAGGTATAAGATATAACGGTACGAAATATACCAAAAAAACAAAAAAAAAACAAAAACAAAAAAAAACGATAGGAATCAAACAAGAGAGAAAACAAATCTGTCGCGGACGGACACGTTGGCGCGTCCGCGAATTTTTGCAATTTTTGTCCGTCGCGTTTTACCCGAAGAAATTTTCGTGGACACGCGCGTTGAAAAAAACCTGATCTCAGAATTTCTCTCGCGTCGCGCGTCAAAGTTTTTGCTCCGCCGAAAACGAGTCCTTGGTTTTGCGCTTTGCGTTATCTTATCTCTGCGTGCATGTTGCGCATCTCAATTCGAATGGGAAGTGAACCGAACCGTTGTTGTTGACTTTGTGTGCGCGTCTTCGCGTTCGGTCGAACGAAACGAAATAAAATTGAAAATTATTAACGCAAAAAAGACGACGAGCGCGAAGATTCGTTTTTTTTTATTCGCGGAGCGAAAGCAAAAAAACCGCGCTTGAAATTTTTATCTCCGCGCCCAGTTTGCGATTCGCGAATGTCACTTCGAAAATCCAAAATTTTCGGACGCGAACGTAACGAGATTCCGAGACCTAGAGACGCGAATATTCGGCGCGTTGAAAAAAGCGATCTGTGAAAATCGCTTTTCTTCACAATAAAAAAAAAAAAAAAAGCGACAAAAATTGCATGTCGATCGGTGTGTCACTCTGACTGAAATTACAACCCGGGTAAAAATCCGCGGCGAGCGGTGCCGCGACGCTGCATTCATTGAAAACAAAACAAAAAAAAAACAAAAAAACTGCATTTCACAAATAGTAAAACAAAAACAAACAAAAAAAACACAGATGTGATAGAAATACTTATTTAATAATTATAAAAGAGACTTTTCTTGTGTAATATGGAGCGGTAAAAGAATTTAAAGTTCTTTCCTTCTTTTTTGTTTGTTTTTTTTTTTTTTATACCTTTCGACGAAGAGGTATCTTGATATTCGAAAATAAATAAAAATTTATAATTTACACGTATACGTTGCGGGCCGATTTTCACGCTTGGACAAGTCTTGCGAGACGACCGAGCACGTTTGCTTAAAAAAAACAAAAAACCAAAAAAAAAAAATTTGTTTCTTTTTTTCCACAAATCATTTTCGTTTCTTCTTCTTTCCCCGCCCGCGGCATGTTACATACGCTAAATTTATCTAATAAAAAAAAAAACTAAATAAAGAGCAATCAGATCGTTTCGCAATTCTTCTGGATTCTCGTGTGCGCGCGCGCATGTACGTCGATGTAAAAATTTTGTCAAAGACGTGTTCCCTCCTTTTTTGTCCAGCGTCGATTTTTGACCCACGCGCGCACGTTCGACTGATAAAAAAAAAGTTTTTATCGATCATTCGGCAAAAAAAAAAAAAAAAAAACGCGATGCAAGAAAACAAATGATGTGGAATTTTTTTATCGCTGTGGAACACAGATCGCGCGTTCGATCGAGCTTCGTTTCTTACGCAATTCTGCGCAATCGTTCCCTGTTTGTTGAGTTCTTTTTTCTTATTATTATTATTATCATTATTTTTTTTTAATGCCTATAAATGTGTACAAAGGAGAATAATATATTTCAGTTCTCTCTCGTAAGTCTTTTTTCTTTTTGTTGTAAGATTTATTGTTTCTTTACGGGGGGGAGGGGGGGAGAGGAATCGTATCTTACGCAATAATCGTGCAAGTTTCGTTCGTGTAAATAAATTTCTTCTTTTTTTTTTGTTTGTTCTTTTATATTGATGCGTCACGCGCGCATTACTCATTACGCGTTCGCACACAAAGGTGCATTAATGACTCGCGCCGCCTTTGTGTCGTTGCTTTCCTCCGGCCTGGTGTAAAACGGACACACCCCAATCCCTTCAATCATATATTTACAATAAAAAAAAAAAAAATTCTCTTTCCTCAGTTATCGCATATGCAATTTTCCAGGTTCAATTGTTTTTTGTTTTTACACACAAAGAACAAAAAAATCAATTGCGCGCTACATCATGTGAAACTGTCAGATTTTAATTAATTAATGCACCCTGGTGAGTGCAATTGAATTATGTAAATATATTCGAAGAGATCGTCAAAATACGACGTTACATTCTGTCATAAAAACTGTTTTTCTTTTTTTTCTCTCTCTCTCTCTCTCTCTCTCGGTATCCTGAGACGTCAGACTCAGTTGAGCTTGAAAACGGCAGGTTGTCTCGTTTTGAACAGGAGTCTGTGCGCGACGCGCACTCGTTCAATCCGGTGCTTTGTCACGCGAGCGTCAGAATCAGTTGTGATTCGAAGATCGAGGAATTTTGATTATTAAATCGTCGATCTGGCGCTCTCGTCCCGGCGTCGAGGCGCGAGAAGCACCACCACCACCGCCATCACCACAAGCGCGCGCCGCGGTAACTCAAGATACCGATACGCGCAACATGGAATTAAATGACAACGAAGATTTGAGATTTGACATAGGAAGAGCTGCAAGAGAGAAACGAACTTTCGTATATATTGTCTTCTATTTCGGATGGGTTTGCGTCTTGGATTTGGGCGAGATCTTGGCCCTCTCCTTGGAACACTGGGCGCGGCTGTAAGCGCGCAGGGTGTTGAACACTTTGTTGTTTAGTTTAACGTCAAATTTGCCGGTGTCGCCCGTGCGAATGCCAGGCGGGAATTGCAACACCCGACAGGCGTTTATTCTGGAAGACATCAACATATCGTGCTTCGTTATTATTTGCGAATCTTTTCCCATCTTCTTGTAACCGCAGCGCGGAATCGAAGCGTATTCCCTCTCTATGCTCTGCAAAACAAATATACGCAGCGTGTTTTTTAACAAGAGCGCGAGATTCTACGGTGTATCACACATACACACACACTTTCAAGCGCCAACGCGCGCGATATTCACCACGAAACGATCGAAATCTCTGTTGACATCGTCAACAGCATTGGGATCTACACTATCCTCGTCCTTAGTCTCTTGGGAAGAGTTCCTGTAATTACTGTACGAGATATTCACTGAAACACACATGGAGAACAGATGGTTTTAGATAAACGTGATTCTTTACGGGGAACAAAAAAAAAAACAAACAAACAAACAAAAATACTCTCGCGACCTTTGTGCATCGTCACCTTTCGCATCGCGATTGAACTTGTCTTCCGTGCGCTTCAGCATCGCGTTGTACTCGTGATTGAATTGGGACTGCAGCAGGTACGCGATGACCTCGTCGTTGCCGGTGTCACTCGCGTCGTACGTCTCTCCCGCGTCGATCTCCGATTTGTCCACGTTGTCCCCGTCGTCGAATTGCTTTCGCAATTCCCTGAAACAACATTCAAACCCTTGAACCTTCAGAGAAATTGCAGAGAGAGAGAGAGCAAACAAAATTGAAATCGAAATCAAGTTTCAATTCGAAATTCAATCGTCCTCAAGGTGACATAAAAAAAAATTAGGTATAACGCAACGTTACGCAATTGTTGTTGTTTCTATCGTAAATATCGCGTTACTCACGGTGTTCTCGCTGATAACGCGCGAGCTGCGCGAAGAAGACGTGAAACTTCGCAAGATCCGAATTGTTCGATTAAAAAAAAAAAAAAAAAAAAAAGTGAACTGTCGCGTGACAAGCAACAAAATTTACCTTTCCTGCATACTGACAGCCAGTTGTTCCGTCGTGATGTCCAGAAGATTCGCGGGATTTTCCAGAGGTTGTATCTTGGCCCACACTTTCGGAGTTGCCATTGTGTTTTTTTTTGGTTTTTTTGTAATTAAATTATATATGTTACAAGAACGAAACGACGACTAAGATTGCACGATACACAAATTACGAAAGTGGAACGAGAGACAAGTGTGTTCTCGGATTGCTCGATCCGAAAACCGTCGTCGTTGTTTTATATATGTGTTGTCAGAGATTACACACAATCACACACACCGTGTGTAAACACAGACCGTTGAGAGAAAGATCTGAGAACGCATCGCGTGTGCTCGCATCTTGCGAGTTCGCGCCTTCACGAGCGCCGCGCTGTCCACGTTTCGCGCGCGCGAACCAATCGCTGAACGGCGGCAACCAATCAGAATTGGCGAGAATAGATTTCGGATGTACAGAGGAGTGCACCGTATCGTTCCGCTCTAAAGAGCCGTCTACAATAGAGAGTTGTAGGCCGTAATAGTAAGAAATTGACCAATCACAATCGATTATTCTTCTGTACTTCGTCTGTGATTGGTCAATTTCTTACTATTACGGCCTACAACTTTCCATTGTAGACGGCTCTTAAGGCCTGTTCTACAATATACAGTCAATATCAGTCGTAAGAAATTGACCAATCACAAACAAAGTACAGAAGAATAATTGATTGTGATTTGTCAATTTCTTACTGTTACGGCCTACAACTCTCCATTGTAGACGGCTCTTAAGGCCTGTTCTACAATAAACAGTCAATATACAGTCGTAAGAAATTGACCAATCACAAACTACTTACAGAAGAATAATCGACTGTGATTGATCAATTTCTTACGACTTACAGCTTACGACTGTATTGTAGAAAAGGCCTAAGGGAAGTTTTTCTCTGAAATTTCTCTTCTGGCTGCTTCCACCACCGCGCGCCATAATCTTTTGATTTCCGCCAGCGACCCGAGATTGAAGGAAAACGGCGCGCGGTAGTAGGGACAGCCGGAAAAGAAATTTCCGAGAGAAATATTTCTCCTGGAGCCGAACGATATGACGCACTCTTCTGTACTCCGTTGTCATATTGGGTGCGTTCAGACAACTCAACAGGTTGCACAACGGTTGAGAGATAATCACTTCTGATTGGATCGTACTTTTGGAACCGCCGCAGATTTTGAAGAATAGTCCTATCACAAGTGACGATCTCTCTCAACCGTCGAGTTGTCCGAACGCATCCATTGCGTTTCCACTGGCCGCGTTTTCGTCGGACCAATTGCCGAGTCGTTCCCCTTGCTCGCTCATTGGTCAATTTGTTTAATTGCTCTATCGCCAAGACAATTTAAATATACGCACGCAGAAATGAAATTGTGTAGAAAAATTTTGAGAAATAAAATTTATACAAATTTTTTGAGACGTTTAGTTTTCACTATGTATTAAACTATTATGTTTGTTTGGTTTCAATAAAGCAAATATCAGACAGACACTTTGTTTTATTTTCTCTCTTTCCTATCTTAATTATTTGTTGATTTGACACAAAAACATTTTCGCGACAACAACAAATGCGCTATTTGTAACATGTTTCATCTTAATCATCGGTTTGTTGTTACATTAATTTCGATTTAATGCGTTTATATATAATCAGTTGATAAGCTTCTTTGTTTTTTTTTTTTTTTTTTTTTTAACTTATTATAACGTGAGTTTTATTAATGCGTCAACAATAACTGGTACTGTTAATATCAATACACCACGCAGACATAATATGTTCATTATACGTCTAACGGACATCTAAAACTTTATGTGACGTCTAATGAACAATCTAAGATCAGAGGATTTTTTTTAATAGAATGTTGTTCTGTGTGGTAGCAATTATCTTAATTGATATAAACATATATATATATAACATAGCTATCTCAATTTTCTTATTAACCCTTTCATTGCTGAGCTCGAATATATTCGAGCGCGAAGCAAAGCGCAACTTTAAATATTTAATCTCATGACAAGTAAAGACAATAATTATTACTTAATAAAATACTTAATGAGACATTTAGAAAATTTAATTTTTAAAAATACTTTAACAGAGAGACAAGCTGTATATATTTAATATCTCGTTAAGTCAGCAATGAAAGGATTGAAATTAACATCAAACACGATATGTAACTACATAACGAAGCTTAGAATTAAAATATAAGAATTAAAAATGACCGTATTCTCATCTTACTTTTAAACTGCTTCGAGACATATATATGCTGCTCACTCTTACCGTCTTTAGAAAAATGTTACTTTATGTTGTCATCACCGAGGTGAAAAAACTATTGCCGCGCAATTTCGCGGCAATAGTCGCAATATAGAATTTTAATCCGAAGTTATTCTTCCGAGATGCCTAAGTAATATTAAATGCATTGTTTTTGACAAAACATCCCACTTCTGCTTCGCACGTTGTTCCGAACTTTCCTCTGAAATTAAATTTGTATGCTTAATGAAAGATATATTGATTCTCTCTAAAGTATATTTTATAAAAAACTTAAGTTTTCATTAATTTATTTACAAAACTTGTATTAGATGTATAGTATTAATTTTCATTAAATAATTAACTACTTACGACATTGTCGTTAATGATTGTTTATATGCTCATAACACTTTCGAAGTTGATTTATACTCTTCTTAAATACGCCAACTAATTCGTCACGAAAATTCTTCCCGCTCACACAGTAAAGCAAGAAATTTATACCGAAATTTATTAAATATATATGGTTCGCTATAATTACCCAGAAAGAGATCTGTTTCCACATTATAATTTCTCTGATGAAAGCCAAAGATACGATTGCATTATTCTCATTATCAATTTTCATTTTTAAGTCTCGTAGATGATCATCAGTAGCCTTAAACCCCTGTATATAGTATTATAAATATACAAACAATAAATATATCAATATGTGTAAATACTTTAGTAATTTATAAATCATTAACACGTACGTAAACAGAAAAAAGGATTATTCTCATAATGCAAATGGGCATATTGAAGCACATAAACGCACATGGAAGAAGAAATATTTTAGTCGATTGTAACATCCAGTTCTGATAAATCCGATCTTCATTAGAAGTGATGGGATTTGCAGTCATATTTCTTCGATTACGATAACTTTTGTAAATGTTGTATGTTATCAGAATATTCAGGATAATTATCACAATCAGCGGTATGATAATTATTATAGCAACTTGACAGATCCTATAAATTGCTAAGTCGGATTTTAAGTACAAGAAAGTCAGAAGAAATTCGGGAATGTTTAGAAGAATCGTTAATATCGTTAATATGATTATCATAATCTTTGCACGAGCGACAGTACAAAACGAATTACGACGAAGCGGCCACTTAATTACGATGTATCGCTCGACAGTGAAAACTATCACGAGCCACGCACTCAAACAAGAACAAAAATTCAATAAAAAGAAAGGGAACTTGTCAAAAAACAAATTATCATAGTGCTTTGATCTATAATACTGTCGGGCTAATAATGTTCCTAAGTAACAATTATCGCTTATCGCTAGCACGCCCAGGTAAACGCTCGGTGAAGAGTAACGTAACTTCGTCCCGAACAACACGCACATCGATAGACAGTTGCCTAGCAGGCTCAACAAAACAATCAATATGTAATACGGAAAACACTTTTCTCTGAGAGCATCTATTTGATACTGTCTTGAGATGTCATTTCTCTCTTGATACAATTGAACAAACTTTCCAAAACACTTTTTTTTGGTGTACTTTGAAATATTGACTTCGACTTGCCTCGATATAATTTCAACAAACATAATCGTTTCATTTCCAGTTAAATTGTACAATACTTGTTCACAATCAACACTGTTTAGTAGTGTTGTGTTACTCATTTTTCGTTATTTTGTAATTGTTTGTCAAAAGTCATCTGAAAAACAAACAACTAACTTGCTTTATGCACAAAGTCCTGAAAAAACATCATAATTGATGTTTCATAAAATAATTAATGTACACTTGCGAGACGTACAGACACACACTATACTTTCTTTTAGATCGTTTTCTTCAGATTTTATCCACGTTTTTGTGAAACATTGACGAAAGTTCCTTTTAACACACCCCTACTGTGTTATTTTATTCTTCAAACAGAAAACGATAATGCATGATATTAAGTGATTTAATACTAAAAACTAGTTCGATTTTTTAATTTTTGTTACACTTGACTTTCAAACACTAGCATGTGATAATTTCAACCTGCATATTCGAATGCTCAACTATTTCTGCTGCTAAATGCGCGACACAGCCGTTTCTTATACAATCCCGATGCATCAATTAATTTAGCTAACGATGTTTTTAATAATCAATTTATATGCTCCTCTAGTTTTTAAGTTATTATACCATTACTTTTATTAATGTGTCAACAACTGATACTGTCAATACACCTACACAAATGTAACATACATTCATTACGCATCTATTGGACATCTAAAATTCTATGTGACGTCTAATGAACATCTAAGATCAAAGATTTTTATAGACTGTTGTTCCGTGTAGTAGCAATTACTTTAAGTGATAAATATGTATCTAACCGCTATTATTTTTCTTTTCAATCCTTTCATTGCCGAGCTCGAATATATTCGAACGCGATGTGAAGCAATTGTTAAAAATAATTAATAATTAAGGAATTGTTTAATGATAATAAAATATTTAAAAAGGCAATTTTTAAAAGTACTTTACCAAAATTACAGGCTGTATATATTTTGGTATCTCAGTAAGTCAGCGGTAAAAGGATTAAAACAACATCAAACACGAAATATGTAACTATGTAATAGAACCTAGTATTAAAATAGATATGCTCGTATTTTCATATCACTTCTAAACTATTTTGAGACTTAAACACGCTCTCACTTTTATCGAGAAAAATATTATTTTACGTTGCCACTGATGTCATCGCCGTAGTGAAAAAGCTGTTGCCACATTTGCGTTTGTTACGTTGTTTGGCGACGGAGAAGATAGGAAAAGTTGCGGGGGGCTGACCATACTTTGTTCTGTATACATACGCAGTAATAATCCATCGAGAAAAAAAACATCTATCTTATATTTCTTTTTTAATCCGAAGTTATTCTTCCGAGATGCCGAAATAATATTAAATGTATTGTTTTCACGAAAACATCCCACTCTTGCTTCGCACATTATTACGAACTTTTCTCTGAAATTAAAATTGTATGCTTATTAAAAGATATATCTCGATTTATATTCTCTCTCTAAATTTTATTTTATAAAAAACTTTAAGTTGCCGCTAATTTATTTGCAAAACTTGTATTAGATGTATAGTATTAATTTTCATTAAATAATTAACTACTTACGACATTGTTTTTACATATGCATAAAGTACTATTTGATATATGCGTAAAAATCGAGAAGTCGAATTGTACTCTTCGTAATTATGCCACCTAGTTCCTCGCGAAAATTCTTATTGCTTACATAGTAAAGCAGGAATTTTATACAAAAATGTATAAAATATATATATTTGGCCACAATTGTCACAAACTCGAAACTGTAGAACCAGCACTCGCGCGAGCAACAATAACGTAAATGTTTCTTGAAAATGCTATGCTCCAATTTCAAAAGTGTCTAAAAACCAAAAGTCGTTCCAAACTCCTTCAACAACTATTGTGCTCGCGCGCGCGCAGAGTGTGATTTTTTTAAAATGTAATGTCAGCTTCGGAAAGAAAAGGTGTTTGAACTTTTGACAGGACGTGTCGCGGCAAAGTCAATCGAACGACGCATCGCGGCGCTTGAAAGTAGTCGCAGTGCGGACTCGAACCGTCTTCGAACGTCGAACTTCGTAGTTTCCGATTTCCGCATCCATTCTCGCGGATGCGTGGCGCTGTGGAAGCGGAAATCGGAAGCGTTGCGGGAAACTACAACGAGGTGGCCGCTCTGGTAGTCACGTGTAGTTTCCGGAAAATGTCATTCCGCGCGTGAAAAAATTTTAGCCGCAACCATTAAGGTCGCGAACGATTCGACCAATTACATTACCGGTATCGTCTCACATTCGAGCTGGAATGCCGGCCCGCGATTGGTCGATTTGCTTTGACGACGTTGCGACGTTACGTCTAAACTTTTGCCACGTGCAGAAACGCGTCCCTCTGGCGTCAAGTGCGCAAAACGCTTCAATTCGAATTCTTCAACGGATGTTTTATCCAACTTCTGACGCTTTGCGTGTTAAACCAATGTAAACTGCGCGGAGGGAACGCTAGAAAAATCCGTTGTCCAACGTGAAGATTTTTAACGTAAATTAAAAAAAAATTACAACACGATTCCGCGCGCGAGTATTTTACAAAATGAGTGACACACGTAATTTTAAGAAGGATAAGAATCAGCATATACAAGTTTTTGTGCGCGTCAGGTGAGCGAGTTGATACAACGCTTGTAAAAAAAAAAAAAGAAAAAAAAATCTGTGTGTACATCCTCGCAGAAACATTAAAAATTTTGCTAACAATATTACAAGCGATCGTTTTATAATTTTCTCGCCGATTAAATCTCTTGAGTTTGTGTAGAATCTAGATTTGTTTTTATTTACATTCCTCAATGCTGTTTATCTTTTTAACAGGCCGATAAACAACATCGAAAAGATCGGGAAATCGTGTTCGGTATTGGAGATACCATCCAGTAAGGAAATATTGGTACATGAAAAAGGTACTCATTCAAAAAAATTTACCTTTGACAAAACATTTGGACCTTCCTCAAAACAGGTACATATAAATGTATATTTTGTTTTATTAAAAAAAAGAAACAATCATTTTTCTCTCGCTCTGTCTCTCTGTCTGTTCTCTCTTTTTTTTTCTCTTTTATGAAATATTTAAAGATTAGGCAAGCTATTCATTCACACAAATTTATCTTTGACAAAACATTTGGACCTTCTTCAAAACAGGTATATATTAGCAATTTTTGTTTGTATCTTCTTTAAATATTTTATACAACAATCTGTTTTACAGATTGATGTTTACAATGCGGTTGTTAGTCCATTGCTTGAGGAAGTATTGGCTGGTTATAATTGTACAGTTTTTGCTTACGGCCAAACTGGAACCGGAAAAACATTTACCATGGAGGGTGTTAACAATGATCCAACATTACATTGGCAAAGTGTAAGTATGTCATATTTTGTGAAATAAATCTTGCTGTTTAGAAGTAACATGTAAAATTTCTTGAATATTTTTGTGCAATATATTTGTCACATGTAAGTATTCAAGAAATCCTATAATATACAGAGAAAATAGTATTGTGTATAATATATATATATACACATATATATATTATAGTAATAACAAAAGGATAAATGTATAATGTAGGATTCATCAGCTGGAATTATACCTCGTGCGTTCAGTCACTTGTTTGATGAATTACGTACGTTGGAAGTGGAAGAATACACAGTACGAGTTAGCTTTCTTGAATTATATAACGAAGAATTGTTTGACTTGCTGTCATCTAATCATGATACATCTAAACTAAGGTAATGTCACACGTAAATGTGTATATACTACAACTTTTCTACAATACTAAAACCTCATAACGAGATATGTATGTTGACAATGTGAGTCTTTTACAGACTATATGAGGATGCCAGTAGAAAAGGTTCGGTAATTATTCACGGATTAGAGGAGATCACTGTGCACAACAAAAATGAGGTTTACAAAATTTTGGAGAAAGGATCGGAAAAGAGACAAACAGCTGCAACTTTGATGAACGCTCACTCGAGGTTGTTGTCTCACAATTTATCTCATTTTGTTTGTTTTCTTCTGAGTACGTTGTCGTTTTATGTTTAAATCAATTTCTTTTCTGCGCGTTATATTTTCAGCCGTTCTCACACAGTGTTTTCAATTACCATTCATATAAAAGAAAATAATGTGGACGGAGAAGAACTTTTGAAAACCGGAAAGTTAAATCTAGTGGATTTAGCTGGAAGTGAAAACATTGGGAGATCCGGCGCGGTTGACAAGAGAGCCAAGGAAGCGGGAAGTATCAACCAATCTCTATTAACTCTTGGCAGAGTTATAACAGCGCTCGTTGAAAGAGCTCCTCACGTGCCTTATCGGTAATATATGAGAGATCCAGCGTTCATTGAAGTGTAGGGTCCAAGAGTCGCGCTAAAAATGCCGTGTCTTTATTTCTCATTAAATATGAGAGAAAATGACGCATTTGTAGCGCGATTCTTACTCTACTCAACAATCTTACAACTGGCTTGTCAACTAACTTTTGCAACATTTTGACAGAGAATCAAAATTAACGAGACTCCTGCAAGATTCGTTAGGCGGGCGCACGAAAACTTCAATTATTGCAACGGTGTCTCCGGCTAGCACGAATTACGAAGAAACACTGTCAACGTTAGATTATGCTCATCGTGCCAAAAACATCACAAATCGTCCCGAAATCAATCAGAAACTATCTAAGAAGGCACTGCTTAAAGAATACACCGAAGAGATTGAAAGACTCAGGAGAGACCTGTTGGCTGCGCACGAACGAAATGGCGTGTATTTAGCACACGAAAATTACAACGAGATGACGACATTAATTGAAAATCAGACCAAGGAGATTGGAGAAAAAATCAATCACATTAAAGTGCTTCAGGAAACAATGGAAACTAAGGAGGTGGGGTATAATTATTTGTTTAATTTATATATATTTATATATATTTATATATATTTATATATATATTTATATATATATTATATATATATTATATATATATTATATACAGGGTGTCCCAGAATTGCCGTACAATCTCTCGTAGGCAGGTAGAAGGAGTAAAACTGAGTCGAAAAGTCCTGAACCATTTTTTTCTATTATTTATAATAAAGGAGTAATTATTGAGTAAATCAGGCCAATCAGCGCAGACCTTTAGCCAGACGCACGTCAGTGGGCCGCGCGCCTCGTGTGTGTGAGCGCTCACTGACGTGCGTATGGCTAAAGGTCTGCGCTGATTGGCCTGATTTACTCAATAATTACTCCTTTATTATAAATAATAGAAAAAAATGATCCAGGACTTTTCGACTCAGTTTTACTTCTTCTACCTGCCTACGAGAGATTGTACGGCAATTCTGGGACACCCTGTATATATATTATATTATTATATTATATATATATATATATATAATATATTATATATTATATATATAATATATTTATATATATTTATATATATTTATATATATTTGCAAAACAGAGCACAAGTGTGTAATGTAATATTCGTTTTTTTTTTATCTTTTCAGCAAATATTCTCTGATTTACAAGCGCAACATACCGAGCAAACCAATCAGTTGCACGAGACCAAGGAGAAATTGGAAACTACCGCACACGCGTTGAAGTCAACTACCGAATTATTGGAAAAAATAGAACGTGAAAAAGAAGAACAAAGTTACTTGGTGGAGAAACATGTTCTCACAGAGAAACAGCTTTTGTCACAAGCGCAAACACTTTTGAGTATCGCCGATGTGGCGACGACTGACGTGAACAAGCTTCACGATAAAATTTCTCACAAGAGGTACGCGTAGAGATTTATATATATATTTGTTTTTTTTCATTCTTATTTTTCTTTCAATCATTTTACACAAATTATTTGAATGTGCGCGCGCGCGTGTGTGTGTGTGTCACTTATTATCTTTAAATTTATTTAACGTATCTCTACAGACAATTGGAACAAGAAAACGAACATCTGAGTCATCAATTTCGAGTCAATGTTGCCCAGCAATTTGAAAAGATGGAAACTAACGTTACGGAATACACGCAGATGCAATTGCAGTCTCTTGCTAGTATAAAACATGACATCGGTAAAAAAAAAAAAACACAAAAATTTTGTTTATAACGGATTTTCATATGTTTATATATTATTTATACGCCGATTATATACTTTGTCACTTTTGCAGGCGCGTACGTAACTTCGTCCAAAAACGAAATAGATTCGATGATCGGTTTTGTGGTGGACAACATCGTTAAGAGAGGAAAATCAGCGATAGATGAATTCAAAAACAATTTACATAACTCGGTATGTTTATATATTTTGTTAGAATAAAAAAAAAAAAAAATTACCGGAGTGTGTATCGTAACGATTCAAGTAAAACAGTACGTGTACGTGGCAAGAGTGTTTTTTTTGGTTTTTAGCACGAACAGCACCGAGAGAACTTGAACACCGAGATGGAACATTTTACCAATGTGATTGACGACGAACGCAAATTTTTAAATGACACAGTGCTGAATCAGAAATCTGAGATAAATAACGCGATCGAAGCTAATAATTCGAAAATTATCGACAATTTGCATCGTTTAAACGATGACATATGTCGGAAGTTCGATAAGTTGCTGGCTCGAATGAACGAATCAATCGCACAGCTCACGGATCACAGATTGCGAGAACGTGATAATTTGTACAAAAGTATAACGGAGATAAAAGAAAACATTGAAGCTGAGTCCGAAAAGGATGCCAAAATTATGGAAGAAAAAGAAGAGCTCGAAGGAAAGCTTCAAACTTTCACAAATGTAATTAATTAATAAATACATTTTGCCATTCCGATATTTTTTTTTTTTTTTTTTTTTTTTTTTTTGCACTAAATTTTACACTTGATCGTTTTTTTTTTTAACACTCACATGTACAAGGCACGTGTCTCTTTTTGTTTTGTAGGCGTTCGAAGACGTGCGAACACAATACGAAGACATGCGACTGCAATTTAACAAGTTTAATGAAAACGTGAACAACAATTATTCCGCGAAGCGCGCAACCGTGAGCCGTGTCAACGAATTGTGCGACAGTGTGACCAAAAACAGCGGCGACAATTACGACAAAGCTGTTGAGAGAAATGAGACGTTACGAGATGAGATGCGGAACGATATCGGCCGACTCAGAAGTGATGTTCAATCTGGCATGAAAGAGGTAAAAAGAGTTTCTTCAGAGTTTTATTTGGTTTTTTGAGGAATTTACATCGACGCAACAAAAAACAAAAAGCAAAAATGACACGATAAAGAAATTTACGTAATTTGATTTTTCTTTTCATTTCAGAATTGGACTTTGGCAGAACAGATAGCGATAAACAGCCGTGAGCTGATCGACAATCTTCAAACCAATATAAATAATCGTTGCGAGGTGTTAACGAAGAACAAACAGTACGTCGAGGATAACACGCAACAAAGGGGACAGAAGCTCGAACAATACGATCATTTGTGCGTTCAATCTCTCAAAGTAAGTTTGTCTCATCAAAACTATTTGTTTTTACACATTGAACGCGTATTCGTGGACAAGAAAAAAACCTGATTTGGTTTTCTGATGAAGCGTGGTCCATCAGCTTTGCGAAAGAAGAAATTAATTTTTCGCGCGTTTGATGTCCGCACAAAAAAAACAAAATTTATACAAAAATAATCAAAGACTCATCTTTTTGTTGATCTACACAATTGTGTGTTTGTTTCGAATAGAATATAAGCAACATAATAGTGGAAGGAAGTAATAAGCACAACAAGCAATTGGAAGATCTGAGTAAAACAAATCTGCAACTGTCCACGGACTTGGGCGATAAGATCGACGGTGAACGCGAACACACGCTGGATTGGAACGATCAGACGCTTGCGCAAATGGTTGCGATACAAAACAAAATTGGAAAATTCTTTAACGAAGATCTACGTCGTGACACTCCAACAGGTTAATTGTTTTGAAATTGACCTATCGGGTATTCATTGAATTACGAAACAGTCATGTTTCTTGATATTAGAGAAAAACGAAGGAATGTCACTTTTGCCTAATGTTATTGTAAAGCGGCTTGTTAAATTAAATGCTCGTTTGTGTTTCAGGATTGACACCTGCGAGAAAAGAATATCACTATCCGAGAAAACTTGTTACAACTTCGCCACACGAACGAATTATCCAGAGGTTCCGAGAATTGAGAAATTAACCACGTAGTAATTTTATACGGACATCAATTTAACACATATTCGAAATATAGCAACGTTCTGAAAAACATATACACAAGTCGTGTGAAACCTTTTTAAAAACGGAGGATTTGCTTAAAACATATATTGTGCGTTTACAAAAAAAAAAAAAAAAACAAACAGCGTTGGTCGGTGTGATAACGCGTCAAAAAAAAAAACAAAAAAAAAAAAAAACACTGCCCGGACATATTTTTTAATCTTATAACTGTTTGCAATTTACACTAGTGGTAGAAATTACAAATTAAATATGTATATAACCGATGAATGTGTATAATCTTTTTTTTTTTTTAAATATACAAATTTTCTTAAAAAGACGTGCTTGTCAACGGATATTGATAAAATTTTGAGAGCAAGAGCTACCCTCCCTCTGTCCGTAAATCCTTCGAGAGGATGTGGGAAACACCTCGTTTTGTCAATAAATTATATTTTTCATAGAGGTGGGAAAATTTTTAATCAGGTGGTTTTTGCTCTTGCCCGATTCCGATGACCATCTCTTAGTGGTGGTTTTTTTTCGTCTTTAGGGACGATTTCTCTTCCCAAGGACGACGAAGTGCCCCCTGCTCAGTTGTTCAGAGCTCTGATTGACGGGGTTCGCTTTTTCAATCGACAATGTCGACTCGAAAAGATATCGGCCCGGAAAAATCCGACGACGTCGGACTCGAACTCGGGACCTTTCCATTCGCAACCCTCGCACTTAGGCCGCGAGACCACCGGGCCCGGTTCTGTCTTATGTCTCGACTATCCGTAACGTACCGACGCGGTATAGGCCACGCTTTTATATCATCTTTTGATATCAGATTGTACACACTACCAGTCACTGTATTACCGACAAATATTTCGAGCAAAAAATTAATTTAAAAAAATTACAAGTCAATAAATTTATCAAAGCGACTCGAGCGCAACTTCCATTGTTTATTTAAACTACTAATTTACTCCTGTGTAAAAAATACTTCGCAATAAACGTTGAATTTTCATCTGTGACTATTACGCAAATGTAAAATGGTCATAGATTGTTGAGAAGATAGAATTGTTTAAAACAGTGTCGGAAACGATAAAATTGTTACTTGCAAAGAAACGTATTTGCGTTAACAAAACCAACCTGACGCTTGTGCGCGCACATGGAAACTGTGCGAAGAGAAATTTAAACAAAGAAACGTATTCGCATCGATCACAAACAAAAAAAAAAAAACTTCCTACGGGGGTGGAAAGAACACGCGCTCTAATTGTTATTAATTTATTCCAGTAAATCTAATACATACACAAACGCGATTTGTTTTTTTCTTTTTGTTTGTTTTTTTTCTTTTTTTTTTTAATAATATACCATTCACTCTCCACATCGCTTGTGGGTTTTTTTTTTCTCCTCAAATTGTGTATTCACCCTTTCAAAAATTCCATAGCTAAAATCTAAAAACTAATCTTAGAAACTTAGCTAAGCCAAAATCACCGTTTTGGCAAGAGTTCACTTAAACGAAAGAAGTAAAATCGATCTAAGTTCTGTTGTGAAACGGGGGGGTGTCGGGGAGGAGGGGGGAGGGAAGGGGAGGTAGAAAAGACTGAACAATACGTATGTAAGGATGTCGTCATTTTTCCTGTGTGTTTTTTTTTTTTTTCGTTTGTCGCAAATGCGCAATCCACTCCTGAAGTAATGCATGGGGGGAGGGCAAAGGGGCTTGTGTTTATCTCTCTCTTTCTTTCTCTCTCTCTCTCTTTCTCTCTTTCAATTTACAAATCTAGCATGAGTCGTGATTACCACAGATGGCTTTTTTTTTTTTTTTTTTTTTTTTTTTTATAAATACGATGACAATATGTACAAATATCATTGACGTTGTGTGTGTTGTTGCAAACGTGTCACAGTCGCACACGCGTTCACTCAGTAAATTTTTTTTTTACTTTACACACACTTACCGATGTGAGCGTGCATATATTTGCTAAATATATATATATATATATATATATGGTATAATATATATTTACGAGCAAATGTATCGGCAAGTGTGCGTCGGAGATTTTTGTTATTTAGTTTTGTTCGTTCTCGAATTTCTCGACGGCTTAACCGCAACTGGTTTTTTTCTTTTTTTTTTTTTTACTGTAACATTTATACGCGGAGTAAACACAGCTCTTTTCTCTGCGCTCGATCTCCCTCAGAACGAGCGTCAAAATGCATCTCGATACGCGCGTTCTTATTGTTCCTTGAGCAAGATGTAAAAAAAAAAAAAAAAAAAAATCCAAAGTGCAACTCTGACAACAAACGAGAAAATGCACGTCGCATTTGAAGGAGAAAGTAAAAACAAATCGGTTCGGTTGACTTCTCTTTTCTCATCGAAAGTTTTTCTCCGATGCCTCCACAATCGCCGAATATTAAAAAAAACCAAAAAAAAAAAAAAATAAAAAAAAAAAAACAAAACTTGATAAAAACGTAGGAAAATTCGCGTAACGTCGGAAATTACACACAACCCATGCATTACACGCTGGTGCATCACGCACGCAAAAATTCTCTCGACCGCACATGTCAGTCTTGTCCCAAAAGTGATTGCCGTGTTTTTTTTTTTTTTTTGTTTTTTTTTTCCCGTTTCGTCGCTGCGTCGACGTTGCTTTCGCACAATTCGGAATGAATCGCCAGGCCCTAACAAGTTTAAACCGTAGATGTTGTTTTAAGTTCGTCGCTTGCGCGTAAACCTTCCTATTGTCGAAAAATCATTATTTTCATTTTTCTTTTTTTTCGTGTGTAATAAATTACAAGAGTGACAGACTGTGTTTTTTTGAATCGCGCGGCCTCAAAGAGCGACGAGATGTGAAAAAATATGCGTTTACGACTAAAAAAAGGTCTTAAATAGACTTAAGTAAATGGGTTCTTTTTTTTTTTTTTTGTTTGCTACTACATCTGCAAAATGCTAAATATGTGTGTGTGTGTGGGTGTTTTTGGTGTGTATATGTGTGTGAGTAAATAAATCAAATTCTTAAAAGACGCTTATAAGAAAAATAAATCTAATCGCCTCCGTTTCGCGGAAACGCGCACATTCATCGTATATATAAATACAAAGAACGGGGGGGGGTGAAAACCTTTGAGAATCTATAAATGTGCCAAATGTACACGTAATAAATACAACAAGTAATGCTGCTCGATTGTTTTTTGTAAAATATTACGTTCATTTACCTTTTTGGGGAGAAGATCTATCTCTCTCTCCTCTCTTTCTCTCTCCCTTCGCATTTTCTTTTTTTTTTTTTTTTCTAGAAAAAATTAAGCTAAAAATTGTAATTTACGAAAAATAATGTTACAGCGCGAACGATTCTCGTGGGACAGTTCGGTTTGCGCTATTTTGTGTCCGTGTTTGAGCCACTGCGTTGCAACACTTAGCATTCAGGCTGTAACGTAAAATTGTTTTTTTCTTTGTTATTTGCAACTTGAAGATCGTGAAGATATTATTATTTCGCTTAATTTGTTTTTTTTTTTATAAGAGGTTTCAATTACTTTCTGCTCTCTAACGTTAATTACACGTTTGTTCACAAACCTGTGAAACCCTGCGGCGGTTGCCCCGGTACTGAGTATTGTGGTCGAAAGTTTCCGAAATTGGCGGCGCCCGCGAACGTGGCCGGTAACTGTCCCCCAGAAAAACCGGCCGGGAATTGTTGCGCCAGCAGCGCGGCCTGTCCGGTCTGCGAACTGCTTCCACCGGGCGCCGTTGCCGCCAGTCGACTCAGTATCGATCTCTCGGACATCTGAAGTCTCTGGGCGACCGGTGGTATACGGGCTAGAGTCGCCGGCAACCGGCTCACGTCCGATTTCATGTCGGACAGCAGTTCCTCCAGTTGATTCAGCACCTGCGAGATTTTAAACGCGCATAATCGAGCGCTCTCTGTTTTAAACGGAGAAAAAGAAGCGACACAACGCGCGTTCGGACTCAACTGACCTTGTGCAACACCGCGTTCGCGGGCTTGTTACCGGCGAGACTTTCCTTGCTAAGATGTTGGTGGGACTCGGCGAGACACTCGACCTCGGCGAATCGCGCGTTCAAACTCATGGCGGGATGATTAGGATCCTGCGTGAGATTCAGATAAGCGGCCCGTCTCAGCTGTTCCTCGATTACCAACGCCTGCTCCAGGAGTTTAAAACGCCTTGCCAGAAACTTGTTCTTTATTTCTAAAAAGTTACCCTTTCCCATGTCCATCTTGAATGGTTCGTTGATGATCGCAAACCTAAAAAGTAAAGCAACGTATAAAATTGTATAAAATATTTATTTACATCAAGAACAACAATTATATTTTATAAAAATCCCAGAGGAAGTCGTAAGATAAATTCGAGCATCCGGAGAGACTTTGTCAAAGGATTTTATTTCGTTTACCGGATATCGTTTTGTATATCCTGCCAACGGCCGTAACCGTGCGTGACGATACCGGCCAGGAGCCAGTAATCGTGTCGGCGATGCCAAATGTCGTATTCACGACCGGGCACAGCAGCCTTCTCTTCATTCAGCCAGAGTGTGTGCAATTCTGTGAACCCACCGTCAGCTATGTTGAACATGAACTTCCGCTTAGGCTTTACTACCTCTGAATCACAGTCCTTGGCATCTTTCTCTTTGTTATCTTTCTCCTAAAAAAAAAAAACAACCAAAAAAAACAAAAACCGTATAAATTGATGCAAGTTGCAAATCGTAAAAACGTTTCGATTCTCTGCGGGAAGTAAATAAATACCTCTCGTTTCTCAACTTCCTCCTCGTCATCCTTAACGATGACAACGTCTTCTTCCGGTTCGGGCTTCTTGGTCTCACCTTCCGTCTTCTCGTCGTGTTTCGCCGCGGCTTTCTCATCCTTCGCGTCGGCTTTGTCCTTTTCTTTATCCGCGCTTTCCATTTCAACGTCCTTTTCTTCCTTCACGACGTCTTCCTTTTCCTTTTCCTTTTCGGTATTTGCTTCGTCGTCTTCTTTAGAACTCTTCGTCTCGTCTTTCGAGTCCTTCGCGTCACCGCTCTGAAATAAAATTTATTCGCACATGGTTATATTTTAACACATCTCTCTTCAACGCGCATTACATTTTATAAACAATTACACGATAAGTCACAGAATAGAGAATTCACTACCAACCTCCTTATCCTTCGTCGACTCGTCCTTACATTCTTTAACTTCGATGGATTCGGAACTCGCTTTATTGGTTTCCGTGCCGGTATTCGAAGTTGGAGTCGGCGTGGCAGCGGGACTGGGGCTAGGAGCATTCGAAGTGGCTGGGGTAGCACTTGTACTGCTGGTACCAGTCGCTGCATCGCCAACTCCTTCCGTTTTCACGGGCTCAACCGGTTTGCGAATCATTTCCGGCATCGAATAGTAGCCGTTAATATGTTCGAATTCTTGAACCTGAAGAAAAAAACAACGGTAAACACCGTATATCGTAAATTTGTTTCTTTGAGAAAACGAAAGATAGGTGGGAGAATAAAAAAAAACAAACGGAACTTTCGAAATCCGTACCTTCTTTCTGATCAGAGACATCACGCCGATTCTCGTCAATACGTGCTGCCTGCTTAGACCCTCCCGCGGAACCCCGTCGGCGAATGTTTCCGCATTGTCAGCGCCTGGTTCACAAAGATGTCGCATGAACAGTGAGACGTAAGCCTTGAAATTTTTCTCGGATTTGCCACGCAAATCGCGCACCAGCCTAAACATGTTTTTGCAAAAGAAATTGTTTGCATAAATGCACGTGTTACAAAAAGAAATTATAGAAAATATTGTATAAAATAGCATTTAAAAAAAATTAAAAAAAAAAAATTGACTTACCACTGAGAATTGAAAGCATCTTGCGGCGGCATTCCGTAACGCATGATTGCGTTGAGAAAGGCTTTCCGTTGTCTCGCGTTGAAACCTAACACCTAAGTGCAAACAGAAAAATTATACAAAATTATAGCAAAATGGCAAACGCTTCTCCCTTAGTCCAGTCGATACCAACCTCGATGTTTCCGTTTACTCTGGCAAGCAGAGGCGGCAAAGGTCTGTCCTTCTCGTCGCGTCTTTCCAATCGTCGTCTGCTCCTACGAGACAACAAATCCCCGTCGCCCTTCTCATCGAAATCATCGTCCTCCTTGTCATCGTCGCTGGGCGCGCTGAAGTCGCTGTTGTAGTCAGACAAGTTCTCCTGCCACGGCTGGTCATCTCTCGCACCTTGATCGCCGGTCACTCCACCGTCCGTGTAATTGACTTGTTTTCGTACTCGTTTTCCTGCAATTGATCCGCATTAATACGTTCATACATGAGTCATATTGATCTCATGTGTATTTATAGATGCAAAATTAATAAAAAAAACCTTTGCCGAGTGTTCTGGCTATGTCTTCCTGTTGTTGCTCGTAATGATGTCTGAGCAGTTTGATCCAATACGCGGGATCCGTGTTCTCCGCTTCCTGCTTGATTATTTCGGTGTCCGCTTCCTCCTCCGTTTCGCCTTCCTTCGTCACGTAAGACGCGACCTTGAACGAACTTAAGTACTCGTTTGCCCAGTTCTCCTTCTGTTCTATACCCTCCTTGCTTCGGTCCAGTAATTCGGCAACAGCCTTGTCGTCGTAATGAATAGCTTCGTCCTCCTTGCCCTCTTCTTCCTTGAACAATTCCTCCGTACCTAACGTAGAAAATTCGTCATTAAACACTCACCGTAGTTACGAAATTGCGAATTGTCCGGTGTCAAATGTTGCAAGAACATAATGACAGAATAACAAAATTATATATAAAATAAATACAAGAAAGTAATTTAAATCGCGATGCAACTTCAAAAGATCAATCAAGAACTCACCGAAACGCAAAATATCGTCGAGTTCTTGTTTGCTGAAGTTAGCGCCTTTGCCGCCCATACCCGGTCGCACGACCAGATGAGTGAGCATCATCTTGCGCTTGGCCACCTGCGTCACTCTCTCTTCCACGGAGTTGCGCGTGACGAATCTATAGATCATAACCTTGTTGGCCTGGCCTATTCTGTGAGCTCTGCTGAACGCCTGAATGTCGTTGTGCGGATTCCAATCGGAATCGTAAATAATCACCGTATCGGCCGTTGCCAGATTGATACCTAGACCACCAGCGCGCGTCGAAAGCAAGAAGACGAATTGCTGTGCGCCTGGAAGTACAAGTTTGTTGTTCAAAAAAAACAAAAATGATCAAACAATATCATCTCGTTAATTAAATACGAGACGAAAGCAACGAATCGATCGCTAAGAGAGATACTTGCCAGGTGCGTTAAATCTGTCAATAGCCTCTTGACGTTGCGCGCCCGTTATGTTGCCGTCTATTCTCTCGTACTTGTATCCCTCGCCCTCCAAATAATCCTCCAGAATATCCAACATTTTGGTCATTTGCGAGAATATGAGAACACGATGTCCGTCGTCTCGCAGTTTCTTCAACATTTTGCTCAACAGCACCAATTTGCCGGCCGCTTTTATCAACGCCGAAGTCTCGTAACTGCCGTTCGGACCGGTTGGGGCCTCTTGCGAAGCAGCGGGAAACAGATACGGATGATTGCAGCACTTCTTGAGATCCATCATTATGTTCAACAACGACACTTGTTGACCGCCACCCTTCGGATTCAAAGCTTCGAAGTTCCTCGTTAATATGTACTTGTAGTACTTTTTCTGCATTGGCGACAGTTCCACGCGTACAATAAATTCAGATTTACTGGGCATGTTCTGCAAAAAAAAGCGTCGTAAACACATCGACAATAGAATATATTTAAAACATGTTAAAAAAAAACATTAAAAGCCACGAACCTTCAGTACGTCAGCTTTTAATCTTCTCAACATGTGCGGACCAAGCATTTCGTGCAGCTTCTTAACTTGCTCCTCCTTCGAGATGTCGGCGAATTCGTTTTGGAACGCGGCTAGATCGTTGAACTTGTCGCGACACAGGAAATTCAACAGGTGAAACAATTCCTCGAGATTGTTCTGCAGCGGAGTGCCGGTTAGCAGAAGTTTATACGCGATATTGTAAGACGCTAATAATCTAAAGAACTTGGACTGATTGGATTTAAGTCTGTGAGCTTCGTCCACGACTAAAACCGCCCAATCGATCGACCCTAAGCACGCCGAGTCTATCGAGATAAGTTCGTAGCTCGTAAGCAGAACGTTAAACTTGATCGACGACGATCGTATTTTGGAGGCGCGTCCGCTGCGCACCGCGCCTTCCTCGAACGACAATTCGTTCTCACGAATCACTATACGACTGTCTTTATCACCTGTAAACAGAGAAGAAAAGATAACTTTTTTTTTTTTTTGTTACTCTGATAAAAAATCTTGAAACATAAGAAAACAGACATAAGCGATACTGACCCACATAAGTAACACAGTAGAAATCGGGTGCCCAAGTTTCGAATTCGCGTTCCCAGTTGATTATGGTCGACAGGGGAACGGAGACCAAGAAGGGACCTTTGCAGTGTCCCTCTTTGTACAAGGAATACAAAAATGTTATGGTCTGAATGGTTTTTCCCAGACCCATCTCGTCGGCCAAAATTGTGTCAATACCCTGACCCCAGGAATATCTCAACCAGTTCAATCCCTGCGCAAATTTAAAATCGCGTTTGAACGCGACGCAGAGATGTGTGAAGGATAACAAGAGAAAAAACCTCATTTTTTTTGTTTTTAGCAGCGATAACTAACCTCTAACTGATACGGATGCAACTGCATTCCCGTTTGATCCAAATATTCCGGTTGTCTCTCGTACTTCTTCTTGAGATCGGTTGTTGGTTTATCAGGCGGCGGCGTGTACCGTTTTGGAGTCCTCTCCTCGTCGTCGATCAGCTCGCGCGTTTTCGACTTTTTGCCTTTACCTAGAGTTCGTTTCAATTTCTTTTTAAAAGAGCACGAGAACACGCTTTGGAACTCTTAAAAAAAAAACCGAATCGAACATCTATTTTGCTTACCCTTCTTTCCTTTACGGGACGAATTGACGTCGCAACAATTCGCGGCTCTCAGGTCCAGGTAATATTCTATGGCCTGCTTCAAGCCGGGTATGTCCTCGTGTTCGTCCTCCCACGTCGCTTGGTCGTAACCGAGTTCTCTCCACTTGACAAGATACGTGGCTCTGCCGTCCCGTTGCAATCGGTGATTGATCACTCTGTGAACCACCAGCCACTCCGGACGCACACCGTAACGATAGAAACGTTCCTCCAAGTTGTACTCGTCTCTGTTTGTAGCGCCGTCTTGCTCCTTCAGACGCTTCACGCGAGAATCGCTCTCGTCCAGCGGTTCCTCCAACTTCGGCGGTTCGTCCATGTCGTATTTGCGGTAGTAATTCCTATAAATCGCACGCAAGAACCCACGCGTATAAACAATTGCACGCGCATGAAAATTGTGCGAATAATTGTAATTCGAAAGAATTTTCTACCTGTACATAAGCGGGTGAAAAACGTCCAGTTGCAACTCCGTTATCCAGTCGCAATGCCAATACGACATATCCGCCCACTTGACGAAGAACTCGCGCATCTTTCGTTGTTTGGGCGCCGCTTTGCTCGTGGAAGGCTCTTCCGACGGAGTGTCCGAACACTCTTTCCATCTCCAGGTCAAGATTTTTGCCACTGGAAAATTAAATTAAAATTCCTTTATCGAGCGATGTCAACGTAAATGCTTACGGAGACGAAGTGAACTTTCCGCTCATTAATAACGACAGTTGAGTCTGATGAATAAAATCGAGAGTGAACGAAAACGTACCTCTCCCTCTAAGCGGTGGGCAAGAACATCTGGGACATTTCCAGTCGCCGTCGGGAATCTCGGACAGAGGTGGGTTGAGACAGTGCGTGTGATACGCGCTCGTACAGCTGTCGCAACACAACAACTCCCCGCCGTCTTTGCACACTCTGCAGAATTCCATGTGCTCGTCGTCGTCCTCTGCTGCGCCTGAAAAAACGAGAACATATAAAAAAATCTCCGCGGTTAGTCGCAAACTCTCGCTAACTCTCGTCGAGGAAAGGGATCCGGAAAGGAATTAAAGGTCGAGGTCGAAGATGACACACGTGCGGGAAGAAAACACGGATACCTGCAATACCTTCTCCTTCACAATGAGCACAGCTCCATTTCCCCTCGGGCGTTTCCTCCAATTCCGGCTCCAGACACACCAAGTGATACGCTCTGGGACACGTGTCGCACAGTATGATCTCCCCGCCTTGCTGACACACCTCACAGTAATCCTGATGGTCAGTCTGTAGAGAGCAAAGAGAAAAAAGAAAACCGAAAATAATTAATTCTACTTTGACCAAAAACATCGTCATTTACGTGATGACCAAAGTTGTTTTTGTTTTCTTTTTGTTTTTTGGTTTTTGTTTTTTTAATATCATGTGTAAAGTCGAAAGATGATAATTTATAAGCGTATCTTAAGGCATAAAGTGAATGATTATAGCAGCTTCAAACGTTCGAGATCTGAGAAGAAAAGAGAAGAGAAATGTATGTGATATGATTGTATGTGTATAAATTTTTTTTTTTTTTTTTTTTTTAAGGCAGAGTCAGACAACGTAGCGTATGCGTTCTTGAAGTTCTCTAAGTTCTCTACTTGCATATATATTTTTGTTTTTGTTTCACCGCCAACCCTCATGTTTCGTACACATCGAGATTTACATTTTTGTATCGAATTTGTTATTATTAACTATTAAACAAATCGTGTCTCTGATTGTCAACAATAAAAAAAAACAAAAAAAAAAAATGATTTACATCCATCGCGTTCGGATGGAGATCACAGAAAGATAGAATCATCCCAGCTGTGATGTAATATATTAAACAAGCATATAAATGAATTATATTAGACACATGCGTCGAGACTAGCAAATTACAAATAAATCTCCAAGCCTTTTAAAGTTAATGAGGAGAATAATTAATTGTACGTGTGTGGCAGTCCATGATCGCAAGCACGTTTAAAAACAACAATGAACGCATAAGCAAATGCTGCTTAACTCTACCTGGAGACCTTCCTCTCCATCCGGGAACTTGGACGTGGTTTTCGTCTTCTTCTTTTTCTTCGTCTTGTTGCCGATTTTGGTTTTCGCCTTTCTGCGAACTGGCGGCTCGGCGGGCGGTTCGACACCGCCCTCGTCGACGTTACCCTTGTTGCCCTCAGCCCCGGGAGTTTCCTCCGCGTCGGCTAACATCTGCTCGAACTCCATGTCCGAGTCCGCCGCAGATCCCGCCGCACTACCTTCCGCCTCTTCGTCCTAAAAGTTCAATATCGGAAGGAATAGGAAAATCCACATGATAAAAAAAACCGGACCCAAGCCCAACGCCGCGTGTTGTCAAACACAAAAATTGGACAATGCACGTACCGAGCTTCCTCGTTTACGTTTTCCAAGTTTGATCTTGAGTGTGGGCACTTTCGACGCTTTTTTTCCCTTCTTCGCTCTTGATCCTCGCGACTTTCTCTTACGGTCGCTGTCTTCGTCGTCTTCCTCCTCATCCTCGGCTTCCTGAATAGCACCGCCCCGATTGGCTCGAACATTTCTACTCTCGTCGTCGACGTTTGTGGACGAGACGTCGGCATCCGGTTGCGTGTGCGGATTTAACTCGGAGAAGTCGCGCCACTTGGCCGCAACCAACATCATGAGTTTCGACATGGGAACCTGGAGTGTGTGTTCAACAAAACAAAGATTGTTAGTCAGAGATCGAGACGAGGATGGATATGCGTACACATACAAGCAAACGATTATATAGACGTACTTTTGGATTTTCCTTCGTTAAAAGCGGTCTGACGTGTTGTTGAAACAGTTTGTACGTTGTTAAATTCTGAAAATCGGCGTCCGAATATTCAATGTGCACGTCCGTCAGACCAAACGTGTTGCACACTTCCTCAATCGTGGGCATGCCCGTTGTTGGTTCCTGACTCTGAGTGGTGGGTGTGTTGTGACTCGATGATTTTCTCGACGATGACTTTCTGCTCTTTCTGTTGACCGCGTAGTCGCTATCCTCGCCGGCCTCACCGCCCACCTCGGGACCGCCGCCGCCTCCTCCTCCTCCTCCTCCTCCGCCGCCGCCGCCGCCGCCGCCGACGACGCCACCAAAGTCGCTCTCCTACAAGTCAAAAGTTAGATACACGCAATTACACTGCGTCCTGGTGACACGATCTTGCGCTCGCAAGAGAAACCGATAGAAAAAAATATTCTCACATCCCCAGAATCGGATTTTTTCTTCTTTTTCTTTTTCTTTCCCTTCTTGTCCTCACTACGTGCTTTCCTCTTCTTTCCCTTCTTCTTCTTTCGCTCTTCCGGTTCGTAGTCGTCATCTTCTTCCTGCGAGGAAAACATTTTTATTTGTATCTTGAGATTTTTAATTTTCTTTTTTTTTTTATTTCCAAGTTTGTTAATAAAAGTTGATTAAAACTCGTTTCCAAAGTTCATCACACAACGTGACTCACTAATCTTTGAGATTCCTCAGCGTCGGATGAACCATCTACTTGCTGACCAACGTTTGATATCTGTCCTCCAGTCTCATCCATGTCATCTTCACCTGGTAAACAAAAACAACATGAATATTTTTTTACATTTCTCGCTGCAAAACTTGTGTGTCATCACATCATTACCTTTACGTAACACACACAGTGTACCATTCTTGCAATAACTTTAATTACTTTCAAATAATTGATTAGATATATAACAAGCTTGTGAATCTTACTGAAGATTTTTAATTACTGCGTGTGAGAAAAAACATGAACCGTATTGTTGAACAATATCACATCTCAGGGTTCAATTGAAACCTTCAATTTTTAACAATAACTAATAATACAAACAATGTGATAAAAAACAAACATGTAATTAATGTGTTACATTTTTACAAGTTAAATTAAAAATCGAATTTAACTTGTAACTTGCAAATTTTTGCAAACAGTAATATAAATTATTCGACAGAGTTACAAGATTTATTATATTTTGCGCATAACTACTTAAAGTAATTAAACTTATTACCTTCGTACAAATTACAAATATGTATTACAAAGCAACAAACAATGTGTCACACAAAGGTAATGTAATAAACATAAGATGAAAAAAAAAAAAAAAAAAAAAAAAAGAAAAAAAGAAACAGACAATATATGTAATTAATTACGATACGTTACATTCAGAAGTTCAATGAGGACCCGAATTAATTCGACTTGTGATTCGCCGCACAAACAAGGGGTCAATTTTCACAAAACCAGGACTGACTCTTCGGCGGTTTGCAACGTCCAATATATATAAGTGTATATATATATATATATATATATACATATATATATCGCGGTGTATTCTTGTAATTACACAGACTTGACGTGACAAAAATCTCGAGGGAGCATCACACGCGCGAAGACGACGCGGCGAGAATTCTATCGCGTCGCACGTTTAAGGATCCGCGAGCCGGTGAAAAAAACGAAGACAGAGAGACTCTCGGCGATGGGAAACGCTTGATTTTTCAAACTAATCAACGTTTCGCAAATGCTTTATGCGAGTGTACGTCCGCCATTTTCTTTAATAGGGCATACATACATTTGTGCACATCGGCCGTGCGTTCATACGCGCGCACGCACACACACACATACAATCTAGAGACTCTCGCGTATAAATTTTTTCTTTTTTTGTGGTAAAGAAAATTTATTTAGATCGCGCGTGAATTTTCGCGTGAAAATACAAATCGCACGCAAAATCGGCGCGAACCGACGCCGATTTGTTTCGCTCGCGTTGTTTTTTAACCGAGAGAATTCGCGATCCGCGAATGTTATCCGAAGATATCACGGGAGGGGAGCATCGAGAGGTTAGACGCCGGCTGTGCGTTTGTGTGTGTGCGTGCGTGCGTGCGTGTGTGTGTGGCGCGCCGCGCGTTACATTACAAACACAAACGCGCGCGACGCGTGTACGTGAAATGCGGATCCATAACTTTTTTTTTTTTTTTTTTTTACGCGTATACGTACGCTGTAACATGGCGTAAATGTAATTACGGCTCGTCGATTGGAAATTCGTTCGGAGACGAGACGGACGGAGCGGAGCGCGTTGCTCAACGCGCAAAGAGGAGCGAGTCGAATTTTTTCCTTTTTTTTTTTTAAATACCTTTCGCACGCGAAAATTATCGAAACGATCGTCGTCAACGAGGACCGTTTGATGAGCCGTCCGTTTTGATTATTATTAAACGAAACACAACGGGGGGACACGTTCGAACGCCGCGACCATTTTCGCGACTCGCAAATCGCTCCCCGCGTTCGATTTTTCCCGATTTTTTCCGCGTGATTCGCGCGAGATTTTTCGAAAAACAAAGAGGATCGACTCCGGGAAGAGGAACGAAGTTCTCGACGAGAACAGGAATTCGAAATCCCGGAAGCAACGCCGGAAACGCGACGAGATCGAAGACATTTGTTTTTTTTTTGTACATGAAAAAAACAAAGATAAAATACAGATTTTTCGTTCGATTTCTCTCGGAGACGAGAACCCCGTCGCCGGATACGAGCGGCGACCAAACGTCACGAGGACGATGCCATATGACTCCCGGGGATTCGACGCGTTTCTCTTGTTCGCGAGACGTCGACGTCGACGACGACGACGACGACCGATCCTCCTCGGGCGCGCGGCGAGTGTCTCGCGAGAGAACCCGGAGAGAAATAATCGTCACCTGTAGCGACAACGAGGAGAACCGCGTTTTGACAACCAGGGGTACGTTCCAAAATCCTACCTTGGTTACTAAAATGCTATATTTCACGTCACGTGTACTATAGTTTTTGGTAACCAAAGTAGGATTTTGGAACATACCCCAGAGCGGAGGAGGTTAAGCCACGATCTCTCTCTCTCTTTCTCTCTCTCTCTCTCTCTCTCTCGCGCGCACGAGGGAATGTTCGCGCGCATTCTCGCATATTACCGCCGCCTCTTCCCTCCCCTCCCCTACCTCCGGAAGGAACCGTCGACGCCGCTCTCCGGGATACCAGCGTGGCGACCGCGGCCGACACGAGCCGATTGACAATGGCAGCCATTGATAGACCGAGAAAAGCGCGCGTCGTCCCGCGTGCGGGGCGTCCGCTGCCGCGTTTTCGGATCGCCGCACGAGAGGATCACCGCCGTTCCAGGAGCCGCGCGCTACGTGTTTCTTTGTGTTTCTCTCCGTCTATTCCCCTCTCTCGCTCCGTGTGTCTCTCTGTCTCTCTTCGCGCTTCCCACGCTCCGGTGTCTGTCTCTCTCTCGTTCACCGCGCGAACAACAGCGGGTACACTTCTTACCTGCGTAACTCTCGTCCACCTCCTCGTCGGACGCCATCGTTCTCCCGAGCCTCCCGACGACGCGTTACGCGACGATTGTTCGCACCAGGTCGCAACAACAACAACAAACCACGAGGGATCGCGCGAGACAATCTCCCCGGTGCGCTCACACACGTAGTCCCGCTCGACCCACGGCGACTACGTACGACCACGACCACGACGATGACAGCGATTCTCTCTCCTTCTCTTCTTTCACCCCCCTCTTCGTCTGTCACTCCACTTGTGTTTTTCTCGCGCTCACACCGACGAAAATACCGCGGAAATCCAACGTAAACGTCGCCGCGACGACGCTCCTCCACCTAGCATACGAGACACTGATGATTTCGGCGTTGACTGTGCATATATTTGTGTCTGTGGCTGTATGTGTGTGTAGTGTGTGTACACACACAACGAAACTCACTTCTCCACCGCTACCGTTTCGCTACTACCGCGCGATTCGTCGTTTATTCACTGGTTTCGCTCCCACTCCTCTCGCGCGCACGATGTTACTCTTCCCCCCCCCCCCAC